CAGGGTGTTTTTTAGAAGGAGACGGAGATCTGCGAGCCATCTTTCATTGTGGAGAGTAAAGATTGGTGTTCAAAAAGCCAGACAGAAATAATAAAAAAAAATATATATATATATAAACTATCTATAAAGAAAGTAGAAAAAGTAAAAAGAGAAAGAGAGAAATTCATTTAAAAAAAAATTGTTATTAAAAAATACCATCACCTTTTGATCTCTAGAAGCCAAAACAAGAAAAGAAAAAAAAAAGGCTCAAACCATACAATGGATCTGGACAAAACTCTTAAATAAGAGTTTTTTTTTTTTTTTAATGAAAATGAAAGAAAACAAAAAAAAAAAAAAAAAAGTTACAAAGATGTGCTGGTCGATACGACTTGATGGCCAACACCTTCACTTCTATAACTAAAGCAACAGAAATGATTTACTAACAAAAAGCTAAATAAAATCAATGAAACATTAAAATTTGGAAGAGTGAAGAGATTTATACTCATTATTCGTTACAACGTCGCGGTGTCCATTCGCTGAAACTCTTCAACGCTAAAGCCAGGAGGGTCAGAGACAATATGGATCTGGTCTAAATGGTTGGGTATTATTTGCACGTAGGTGGAAGGAATGTAACCAACACGTCCATCCCGCGTCTTGACCTTCCACCACTGTGACGGCTGGCCTGTTGGATCTTCCTTGGCAATTATGGAAAGTAAGTCGTTTTTGTGCAACTCAATCTCAATCTGCGGGTTTTCTGGAACAAAATCGTACAGCGCTGTGCAAATTTCGAGGGGCCGCCCATCGCTAGTGGGCACATGCGGTTGATATCCATAGTGCTCTTGAATCTGTGCCTGGTATCGTCTGTTTTGTTCAGTCATTGACTTGATAGCTCTGCTAAGCAAATATGGAACACCCAAAACCAGCGACAGTAGTATCACCAGAGGCTTATATGAAGGTCTAGTCCCTAGAGGTTCTCTCTTAATAACAGATTTTTTCGTGGATCCGTCCTCTGTTTCAGCATTTCCAGTGCCTTCTTGTCCCTCCTGATCTTCTAAATCTTCTTCTTCGGGAAACTCTCTACCCTGAAGCCTGGCTAACAGTTTCTTTGCCCACCGAAGTAGCGCATAGATGCCGAGGACCTTTCCCAAAGTATGTTTTAAGTAGCCAATCTGTTCAGCCACAGAAATCATGGCAAAAAAAGACGAATGAGTTGCCATATAAGTCGATTCAAGCATCTGGGCAAATCCTGAGAAGGCTCCTACTATTGACTCAATAAGTTGAAATGTTGCTGCGGTGCTACTTTCAAAATTTCCGGGCCCATTCATCATATTTCCACCATACATCATTCCACCAAATCGTGAATATGGCGATCCATATGACCCATATGATCCATATCCTCCATACATGCCGCTGCCATAGCCACTGCCGTAGCCACCGTATGATCCATATCCTCCACCCATACCGTAACTAGACATGCCGCCATAGCCTGTTCCATAATTTGATAAACCACCACCATATGGAGAGTAGGACGAAATACCCGTGGTATTTAATCCAGTGTTTGATATAGATGACTGCTCAGGTATTGTTGTGAGTTCTGTTGACGTTTGAGTCATAGTTCCTGGAATCGCAGCTGCTGATGATGTTGATGCCACATTGGTTAGCGATGTGTCTGTTGGTGTACCTGAAGACACCTCCCAAGGCTTTGGTCTCGGCGCAGTAGACATGATTTGTCGTTGTATGCCGGTGATAAGAAAAGATGGGGAAGGTTGGAAATTTATAGACTAACTTGAGGGGTTAGGGTATAATTTAACCGAGGGAAATGCACAAAAAAAAAGTGCCGATGAGAACACAGAGCAGATAAGTGTGACAATAATTACTGATCTCCAAAGAAAAAAAATTATTGAATCAGGGTCGAAACAAGAATATTGTAATCTCTCAAATTTTTGTAACAAAAAAAAAGATATTATGTTTACACATCATTAACTGAAAAGCGACACTTGTTTTTTTAGGAGTCTAGATGCCGAAATACTCGCTTACTTTGGGATCACCGTAAAGATCTTGATGAATCATTTTTCGTTTTCGTTTCTGTGATTCATCGTATTGTTTAGCTTGAGGTGTATTTGATATTGTATGCTTTTGTTGTTCTTGTTTGGTGTTTTCAAATAAAACACCGATCCCGTATTTATCATTCTTTATCTTAGTGTTAATAGGAACTCGCGAGCCCTCCCGTCCAGGCACACCCAGACCAGTTGGAGTGAAGGGTGACCAGCCATACTTAACCAAATATCTATAGCCAGTACTTTGAGAATCAATCGATAAAGCACTCAGTGGCGCTTGTGGATTTGATAGAGCTGACAGATGTGCTGCATTCATGTTGTGTCGTTCAGGGTCGTATATTGGAATCTGACATACTTCGCAGATTTGATATTGCTGACTTTTTTGCTGATAGTCAGTTTTAGCAACAGTTTTTATATCTGATTGAATAAGATCTTTGTAAAATGAGGCTACTTGCTGACCATTGGCATTGAGCTTCTCCTGGTTTGTGATCTGTTCCTCTTCTGATTTAGATTTGACAAATGCAATAAATGGACGTTTCGAATATCCAAGTGAAAAAGACGTTACTTCTTGCAAGTTGTAGTTTGTCTCCTTGGTATATGTCATTTTTTTTTTTTAGGTATATTTGGTTCCATCAAAAGATGTCTTGTTGTTACGTAGTGTTGCTGCGATTTGAAAGTTAGAACGACGAAGGGAAAAAGAAATTCAAAACTCCCAAAAAAAAAAAAAAAAAAAACAGACATTTGTCAGATTACATGAGTTCAAATTTCAAATGCCAAATTCTGGTTTTTTTATTCCTATATTTATTTAAAATACCTTCACTTTCTCGATAAATAATATCAACGATGGTTGCTCTTATGAATGAACAAGAGTTTGATTTACAGGCAAATCCAATAACTTATCAAGACAATAATAACAGCGACCACAGTGATATATGGGCCTCTGATAGTGATATCACAACACGGCAACAAGAGGATTCTGTTGGTGATATTCCTCGGCTGCGACGCGAGCATCATACTGCAGGCTATCGTGAAGCTATTGCTATATTTAAAGATCAACATCTTCAAGAAGGATTTGACTTTGGCTACCCATTTGGTTCAGTAGTTGGATTGGAAGTTGGTGAAATATTGGGCACTTTACAAGGTCTGGGGCTACATAGTCTAGAACGGGTGGCAAAAGATGAGTTGAGCCCGGAAGTTTTATTTTCAAACAAATTCTATGATGAAACGGATGAGTTAGCTAGACCGAAATTTGTAGGTAGTCATCCTGAGGTTGAACGTTGGAAGAAGAAGGTTGAGGAGGTCGTCAAGGAGCATCTTTTGTAAGTCAAAATTAAGTGACTAACTTGGAACATAATTTAGTGATATGACTGAATGATTAAATGAAATATATTACAAATAGACTAGTATTCAAATAAATTAATTGGAGTTTCTAATGTACTGCTCAAGTTTCTCGGCTCTGGCCTCGCTGTCAGACTTTTGCACAGATTTCAGAGCTGCCTGGTATCTAGTTTGTATGTCTTGAGCTGAACTATCGTTGATCTCACCCTTTCTATCGGTGTAGTTATATTCTCTACCCCGGCTAGAAGACAGAAAATCAATGTCTTCTTTACGTCTGTTTGTAAGATCATCAGGGTAGTCATCAGGATCAGCCTCTTCTTCATCGTTGTCCTCAGCATCAGATATTGAGTCTGCTTGGATTGGCTTAGAACCACTCTTTTTCAAATCTTTGTCATCATTAATGCCCATATCCTTCAATAACGAAGACAGATTAGCAGCTTTTCTTTCTTTTTCAGATTCTTCTCTGTCTTTTAAAATTTGTTCTCTTTCAGTCTTGTAGTCACGGTTGTATTCTTCGACTTTATTATCAACAGCAGCCAAAAAGTCGTCCATACCTTCGCCAGTGTATGCAGAAACAGAGACAACATCCAGATGATTATAAAACTCCTCCAGCATTAACGACATTGAGTTCATTAGTGACCCCATGTAACCAGTACTATTCTCACCTTCTCCATTCAGATCTTCATCGTTATGCAAACTAGTCTGGAAAGCCTCAAAATCCTTCATCCACTCCTTTGCAAATGCGGCATCTTTCACATCGGTTTTGTTAAATACAATAATCATTGGGAGCTTTGTCTTGTAAAGAATCGAACAAGCGTACAACATATTTGACATAAAAGTGGTTGGCGAAGAGGTTCTGGGAGTATCAACAATATAAGCAATAACAGTTGGAAAAGAAGATGCCAAAGCATCAGTGATAATAGCACCCGATGCAGACCAAATGAAACATTCAATTTGGCCTGGTGTGTCTACAATAATGTGATCGATACTGGGTGCTCTCTTTTCAGCAATAGATAGCACCTGGTCAATCTTAGTGGAAAAAAGATTGAGAGAAGTCATTATTGCGCCGTTGGGTCCCAAATTGTACTGTTCCATGACTTTCTTGTAGTTGATAGAATCTCTGATATCAATATTAGTTCCAAACGGAACTTTGAGCACGGCAGGGTCAAGATTGATGACATAGGGAACTTTTTGTTTCGAATGAATGTGCGAGTTGAGTCTTTGCATAAAAGTTGTCTTGCCAGAGCCGGCCATACCAATGCAAATAACAGTAGCAGGAGGTGACATGATTAAGTATTGTAAGTTGTTGCTATGTGTTTGATAAATGTTAGTTGAAAGACAATCCAAAAAAATTTTAAGTCAAAAGGAATGAAGGTTGATTTCTATTTATTGAGATATGAGATTTTTGACATTGGGAATTACAAATCAGCCCTAACCCAACAAAGCCCTCAATTAGACAACGAGAAAAAAAGTTCAATGCTGATAAATTTTGTGATAGAATTTCAAAATATGGAAACTTTTGGACCTTCAGTATCATCAACATGGTGTTTTTGATATTATAGTAAAGTTTTTATATTTCTTTGAGTTACATTCTATAATTGTTGAAAACGTTTTACATAGAGTAGTATCTTTGCTAGCTCAATTGGTAAAGCTTGTAACTTTCAATATTAGTTCTGGCAGAACTACATACATTACAAGGTTGGGGGTTCGAGCCCCTTCGTAGGACTTTAAATTATTTTCCAAGAGTTTTTTTTTTGTGCTGTTGTTTTTTGAATTGAAAGACATTCAGTCTTTTTTTGATCTTTACCACCTTTTATTTTAGAACTAATACCAATTGACAACCATCTACAAACCAATCCTGCAATGGCCGTCCCTGACTTGATTTTGGACCCAAATCTGCGTATTTGGGTTTTGTTTCCCATTTCATTCATTATGATTTTGTTTGGTTTGATCAGACATTATGCAAATGTCTTGTTAATATCAAACCCAAAGATTGGTGATGTTAAGTCAGTTCGAGAGCAGTAAGTATTCTTTTTTTTCTCATATATTGCCTTAATTTTCTTCTGAACAATTCAATAACAACTAATTAATTATCATTTTTTTTCATGACAGGCAATTTTTGGCATATGCAAACTCGCTTAAGCTTAATAGCATCAATCTTCCCACTAATGCGTTCATTGAACGCCAGCAGTACTACAATGAACAATTCAAGAACGGTCGATACTTGAAAAACCCTGAAGCTGCAGGCAAAGCTCCCTCTTTAACTGATGCCAGTGCAATGGACGGCATGATTGCGATGGTTAAAGGCCAAGCTATGAACTTTGTCCCTCAGACCCTTATGATGAGCTGGATCAGCACGCTCTTTAGTGGGTTTGTGCTCATGCGCTTACCGTTTCCGCTCACGGTACGATTCAAAAGTATGCTGCAGTCTGGTGTGGTAACAAATGATCTTGATGTCAGATGGGTTTCGGCCGTATCGTGGTATGTGCTGAATCTTATCGGTCTGCAGTCAGTTTTTTCGCTTATTTTGGGCCGCGAGAACAGTAAGTATTTCTTTTTTAAAAAAATTATTCAAGTGTGTTTTTTTTTTATATATATTAGTATTCTAAACAGTTTTTTTGCAGCTGCCTCAGGATTACAACAACAGCAACCTAGTGTTAACATGCTGCAGCCTGGTATTGATCCTTCTAAAATTTTCAAAGCCGAAGCTGAAAATTTGGAGCTTGTTGCACCTTGGTGCATTTTCGATGGCATTGAAGAAAGAGTGCTACGTTCGGAGAATGCATAGATTTAAACCATACACAATTTTAACTTGTTTTATCATATTAACTTTTTGTTGTTTGTTTGTTTGTTTTTTACATATGTACCAACTCTCGGGTCTTCTAGTAGGAATCAGTGCCGTTGACAATGACATTGTTAATCTGGATAATGTGTTAGCAAGTATAGGATATGAAATCATAGTAATAAAAATATTGCATACCTTCAAAATCATTCTAGTCAATTGTGTTGCAAGAAGCAGCTGTTGACGCTTTCCAATAAGCGGATCAACAACAAAGTTCTCTCTCATATCTGAAAGTAAAGTTAGTGTCATAGTTTCAAAATTTTTTTGTTTTAATACCAAAAAAAAAAAAAAAAAAAAAAAAAAATGAATAGTTCACTTACCGTTGTTACCAGTGCCCAAACAATCAACACCCAGTCTAGGGTTCTTTTCCAAAACTTGTCTAGACTTCAAAGAAGCAAGAGTCTCAATAGGAGGTAAACCAGAGTTTTCAGCAAGAGCCATAGGAATGGCATCCAAAGCGCTCGAAAACGCTCTGAAAGCATATTGATCAATACCAGTGTGCTTGTCAGCCTCCTCAGCAACAGCTAGAGAACTGGTAATCTCAGCAGCACCACCACCATAAACGACACGGTTATCACGAACCAAGTTGCGAACAACACAAATAGAATCGTGAATAGCACGTTTAGCCTCGTCTATGATCATCTTGTTACTGCCACGAACAAAAATGGTAACAGCTCTGGGGTTGGCACATTCTTCAATAACCAGCATTCTGTCGCGAGTAGTGCCAAAAGTAAGCTCTCTGACAGCACCGGCAGTTCCCAGCTTCTCAGGCTTCAAGTCCTCAAATCTAGGAACAATTCTACCCTTCGTGGCAATAGCCAAAAGTTCGATTTCAGGGCCACCCACCCATCTAACAGCTGGTAATTTGTTCTGTAATAATAAGTGGTTGGCTTCGTCGTCAAATCCCCATTGGCAAATAACAAGATTAGCGCCAGAATCCTTAACGTATTTAATCATTTCAGTGAACTTATCGTGTTCATATGTCTGTAATTTCTTAAACTCTTCAACAGAGGTGATATCCAGCTTGTGTTTGGTCTTGGGCTTAGGAGGCTCAAACGGGCAGGTAAGAATAGCCAGTTTAACGTCAGTCAAACTGCGAGGCATCTGAGGGTGTGACATATCCTTGTCAAGAATGACACCCTTGATCAGCTTGGTGTCTTCCAAAGAGCCACCAACTTTACCATCAACCTTAATCAATTCGAAATCGACATCCTTGCGGTCTAAATCAGCAACCTGCAATACTGAATCGACGGCAATGTTAGCAAATTTTTCGTGAAACTTAGACACAATTTTGCTTCCTAATGAAGTTCTGGCGGCCTTTAATAAATTTGTCTTATCTTCTCTACTGACGGGAATGTTGTCGCTGATGGCGTCGAGGTGTGAAACAGCAATTTGACAAGCCTGATCGTAGCCATTAGCAATTCTGATAGGATGAATTCCCTTATCAATAAGCTCAGCAGCCTGCTCCAACAAAGCACCAGCAAGAACAACAACACCAGTGGTACCATCACCGATCTCATCATCTTGTGATCTGGAGAGCTCAACAAGAAGTTTGGCAATTTGATTCTCAATTTGCATCTGACTTAAAATAGTAGCACCATCATTGGTGATAGTGATATCACCATCGGGAGAGATTAAGATTTTATCGAGACCTCTGGGACCTAAAGAGGTCTTAACGAGGTTCGCCACGGTTTTAGCGGCCAGAATGTGTGATTTGACAGCCTCAACGCCATGAGCGCGCTTCTTTTGGCCTTGATCTCTGACAATAATAAAAGGTCTTCCCATCTCATCCTGAGCTACAATAGCATTGGAGAGATCGGGCATAGCCATTTGTTGCTGGTGTTGTGCCATCTTGTTGATTAATAGAGGTTGGTGTCTCTAACAGATTTAAAAGGAGGTCTGGAAGGAGCGAAGAAACTTTTTTGTTGTCCAAATTTCAATGATAAAAAATTAGGTTAAGGGTTCAGTTCAAGTCCCAAACTGACTAAGCAATTTTTTTTTTTTTTTTTTTTTTGGACTTTTTTCAACGCCAAAAATATCTTGGACAATTTGTATTAAAAAAATTTCATATTTAATATTTGTTTCTTTAATAATAATAATAATAAATCCTTTACTTAAGTCAATAATTCACAGAAATGTCTGCTGTCGGAAGTTTAATATTTTGCAATAAGTGCGGTAATTTGCTTGATAGTGTCACCGGCGAATCCAAGCACATTTCATGCTCTCAATGTTCAACTGTCTACGATGCAAAGAGTATGTATGAATCCGATAATAGCTTATCTGTGTTTATTCTAACTTAAAACTTCAGAGTTTGCTGGTATTTCCGTTGTTACTACTTCTGCCGAAGATGCTTTTCCTTCTGCTTTAAGATCTAAGAGATCTGTTGTCAAGACTGCCATTAACAAGAACGAACTTGAGGAAGGCGCAACTGTAAGTACCTTGCCTAATCGCGATGTTAGCGTTTACCTAACTTACAAAATTCTAGATTAAAGAAAAGTGTCCTTCTTGTGGTCATGATGAGATGCAATACCATACTTTGCAGTTACGAAGTGCTGATGAAGGTGTAAGTACATTTTTTGTTGTTTTAAACACGAATATTTTGCTAATTAATTACTAGGCTACTGTTTTTTACACATGTCCGAAGTGTAACTACAAGTTCCGTACTAACAACTAGAAGAGCTTACATTTTTCATCTTTAAAATCTATTATTTTTTTTTTCATCTTTTTTTCTTTTTTGTTATCGCATTTACGAATCCATCAACAACCTTATTGATATTTTTCTTATAAAAAAACCATCTAATATAGATACTTCTTACTCAGTTGGATCAATTAGTCTTAGGTCTTCCACCGAGAATGGAATGTCGTTTCTCAACAAAATGTGACCTGGACTATGCGCTGATCGATATAAATCGGGTTCTGGGTGAGGGTGGAAACCAGTTCGAGGACAAGCCTTAATAATATCAATACCATGAGGGTCAGTAAGTCTGAAAACACCCCAAGCTGGCTCATGTTTAGGGGCACAGACAACAGCAATGGCCTCTGGAAGCATGATCTGGTAGGAGTTCTGAGTATGAATGTCAACAGAAGATAAGAAGCATGACTGTGTGGGGTGTGTGTGAATCCATCCGAGAATAAACAAGTCGTTCTCATCTAGGTAGTTGAATAGCATTTCTTCGTGTGTGGTATTACAGGTGTCCGAAGTAGATTCTTGGTGAGGTATAACCAAACGAGTGATGAAAAAAGCGTTATGCTGAAGTTTTCCACAAAGCATTCCGCAAGTTTCAAGATTTTTTCTCGTATTCGGCAAAGCAACCTCAAGAAATTTCGAGCGTAGACCCTCAGGAAGAAAAACTGTACGAAGTGGTGCTCCTCCCTCAGTTGTACATTTAGATTTGAACTTATGAACTGATTTCTCGGCTGTCTGAGAAGGTTCTAAAGAGAGCTTAGATGGAAGAGGTGGCGGGGTATTAGTATTTGGTCTAATAGGGGTCAAAACACTAGATAGCTGTGGTTTCGGAGGCAAAGCAGGCAATACAGAAATTACCTGAGATGTAGGAGTTGAATAATGAGATTGATACTGAGAAATAGGATATGCAAATGAGTCGTAGGTCTTAACTACACTAGGTGATGTCGATTGGATTTGACTCGCTTGAGGATCTTGTAAGTTACGTATGCTTGCCAAATTTTTTTCATGATCAATGTCAGAAATGCTGAAAGAAGATTGATCCAATTCATTATCTTTTGGCTGCTGATATCTCTGTCGTATTGCTTCTCTTTCTTTGAGTAGCTGAGTTTTTTGAAGCTGTTCAATTTCGTATGCTTTAAGGCGTTGGTTGATGATTGGTTTCAATCTTTCCATTGATTCCAATGAAAGCATCGCCTATT